GACTGATGATGATGAGGATGATGATGAAGATGTTATGTTGGATGATGAGACTGAGAGTGACGATGATAGTGAGGATCACCAAAACATCGAACCGAATGATATACTAATCAAAAAGAATATTAGTATATCGGGATACCAGAATTCGGTGTGTATTTATACAGTTTCTCTTGGTTCAATGTGTTTTGGAAGGTGTGTGTCCCGTTGGAGACCTTCCAAAGATGGTTGTACTATCTTTGTTAAGGTTTTACAGACGTGGGTGCATATGTTAATTTTAAATCGTTCTTCCCTGGAGCTTATATTATCGAATGAACAGGTATTTATTATATTATGAGAAAAAATATTATAAAATTGTGTTGATGTCTAATTGACTGTTTTATTCACAGGGTGTTAAAATTCAGGCCATTGTTAGAGATGGTGAGATCGATGTTACAGCGTCTCGCATAGATGTTGGTAGTTGGATTATTATCAGTCGTTTTTCTGTTCTCGAGTGTGAGGATAGTTGTAGACTGATTTCTCATAGATACAAAATATTGTTCCTACCATCAACTATCATTGACAAGACTTCACGTGGAGTGAAAACGCTTATTTTGACTTTGTTGATTTTCAAAGGATATTGGATCGTGCCCATGATGATGACTATTTAGTTGGTGTGTTTATTTTCGGTTTAGATATTGAATTTCGTTATTATTATGTTGTTGATGTTAATATGGTTTATTTTTTATTGTTTATGAAGATTTGATAGGTCGGGTCTTAAATGTAAGTCGATCTGGGACGTGGTGTGGTTTACTCTCTGGAGAGCATCCTGTTCCTTCCTATGGCAGTCCATGTAAGGATGTATATGATTCCAAAAAATGAGGTGCATATTCAACTGTAACATTCTGTCTGAGGGATAAACGGTACTGTCTGCTGAGTGTTTTTAAATTGTATATTATCGTTTTATTTGTTTTGCTTAGCTGATTATGTGTTACGTGTTTTAATTTAGTGGTGTTAATTTGAGTTGTGAATTATCCGGTGAGATGGCCAAAAGCTTTTATGCACCTTGGAGACGCTGTGATCAGGATGGAACGACTTCATCATCAATTCGATTTAAGATAATAGATGACAAGTAAGTATATCTCAAACTATATGTTTGAAGTCTAACTAACTAATTCTTAACTACATTGTTTGTCAAAATAGAAGAAATTTATGCTTGAGTGTGTTGCACACGGTGAATTGGCAACTGAAATAAGAGATAAGTGTAGAGAATACAAAGGTCCCTTTGCTATATATATGTGTGTTAACTAATTGGTTGGTAGCAATTGACGGGGATATGTTTTCTGATGATATATTAATATGTTATTTATAAAATCGTAGTATATAATGTAACAATATTCTAATATATATATTTTAGAGAATGTGTCTATCAAGGATCATGATGATGATGGTGTGTCCCGTTTTATCACTGATTCACCGATTGCTGAAATTTAAACCTTTATGCATTTTTGGAGACGCTGTGAGATGATGGAAAGACTTCATCATCAATTCGATTTAAGATAATAGATGACGAGTAAGTATATTTCAAACTATATGTTTGAAGTCTAACTAACTAATTCTTAACTACATTGTTTGTCAAATATAGGAAATTTATGCTTGAGTGTGTTGCACACGTGTGAGTTGGCAACTGAAATAAGAGATAAGTGTAGAGAATACGAAGGTCCCTTTGCTATATGTGTGTTAACCGATTGGTGTGTAGCAATTGACAGGGCTATGTTTGTTTTCTAATGATATATCAATATGTTATTTATAAAATCGTAGTATATTTTAATATATATATATATATATTTTAGAGAATGTGTCTATCAAGGATCATGATGATGATGGTGTGTTCCGTTTTATCACTGATTCACCGATTGCTGAAATTTTAACCTTGCGCAATAGATAAATATGTTTCTCTGTGTTGTCTAAATTGATTTATGAAGAAAAAAAACAATATTTAGATTTGTCTAAATTGCGTAACAGTAGTTTGCCAACCTTATGTATATCTGTTTTTTGTTATTAAAATTTCAGGACTAGGGAGAGATTAGATGGACTGGATACAGATGGTGTCTAATGGATTAGACCGAGTATAAAGATTCAAAATTGATAATCTAGATGCATTATTAGTTTTGTTACACATTTTTTTGATATTTACAAGCCTGTTTTGTAATTATTAATAAATAATAATTTATTCTAATTTTGGTTTAAATTACTAATCCTTCTTCCCAACCATTTCTTTGACTTTTTCAAAACATTATCCCCATGACTACATATAACTTTGTTGATGAGTTACATGCATCGAGACGAGATTGGAAAATACATGTCAAAGTTTTGAAAAGATGGAATCACCCTGATCGACAAGGCTTACCAGGGATGAATTTCATTTTAGTCGACGAAAATGTAAGTATTATCTAATATGAATATATAACTGTTTTGTCTATATTTATTGTTTGTTTAATCTCTTTTCAAAATTCATTGTATATAGGGTTGCAGAATTAATGCTTCATGTGGTAACCTCGCCTTTCCATATTTTTACCGTGTTGGGACTGAAGGACTGTGGTTTGAATTGTATAAATTCGGCTTGATATCATTTGAATGGAAGAATGAGGGAAGGACAACGAGACACAATTATCAGATCGTTCTCACTACTGAGACAGAAGTCTCAAGCCTACGACCATTGACTATAGATCCCTTTATGAAATTTGTCCATTTTAGTGAGATATACAGAGTTCCTTACGCTCAGTTGTATCCTGTTGGTAAGATTAAATTATAATATTCGTTTTAGTGTTTTCATCTATAAATTTGTACATATATAGAAAAAAAAATATGAAGTTCATTTATGATAAAATTTTCTCTCATAATTGATTTGTAGATCTCATTGGTGTGATGGAAAATGTTAGCAACATTGAAACAGAAAATAACCCTAATGGAGAGATTGTTCAGAAAATAACTTTCACCATCACAGATCTCGAGTAAGTTATATTTTCTCTCACGGTCACTATGTCTTAGTAACAAAGTTTGTAACTTAAATTGTTTAAATCAAAGGGATGTGAAGTTGAAATGTATCGCATACGGAGAATTTGCCGCTGATATCAAAGAAAGAACCAAAGGATTCACTGGTCCTTTTGCGGTTTCTGTTTTAACCGATTGGAGTGTAAATAAAAAAGAAGATATGGACAATCAAGCATTTGTCATTATTATTTTTATTTTGTCCCATATATGTTTTATATTGCATGTATATTTCCTATTAATCATTTTATGCGTGTAGATGAAATAACTATCCATTCACATGAAGCAATTGCTTTTTCCTGTCTTCTCCTTGATCCTAACACTGATGATACCCTGATTTTTAAGTGAAAGTAAATAATCTGAAAATGATAATTAGAGAATTTTGTATATACAACAACCTTACAATATGTATATGTCTCTTACACTTCCAGGATTCGGGAGAGGTGGAGCACATTTTAGACACAAGTCGGAACAAGGATAAAAAGACACTCCTAAACCAGATATATATAACAATACTTAATGGAGTAGTGTTCTCTTAATTTCTTTGTATAAGTATTTATATAACTTAAAACTTGCGTGTTAAATCTTATTATTTATTTTGAATATTTCTTTTTATTATATTTTCATCTACAATTTAATTATTCTTTATTATTATTACTAATTATATTTGGTAGTTGTTTATTATAATATTACTTAATATGTACATACGATTTTAAATAATTTAATATACGATTGATATTAATTAATTTAAAATAATAATAATGGATTTTTAGTTTTTTTATGATTTATATTTATACAATATTTTAGTCTCCATTATTGAAAATATAAAAATATAATGATTATATTACAAAAATTTCTAAAATCAAATTATAATAAGATTTGTATGCTGATTGTGTCCGCCCGCCGCAGACAGATACCTAGTTACACGTAATCGTCAACGGAAAAGGATTTATATTATGATTAGCGGTGCACCAAACCCTCTATATAAACCACTCTCAATTCTCACAAAACAAAAACTCAAAACATAAATAAACCTCACACTCTTTTTCCTTAATTCCCGCGTTCCAAAAAAAGAAAAACAAATCGATCATGGCTTTGATCAAGAGAAAAAAAAAAACACCTTCTTCTTCACTTCTTTACTGGTTCTTATGGCTCTCTAGTCTCTTTGGAGTTTCCATTGAAGGAACCGTTCACAAAGTCGGCGACTCGAGCGGATGGACCATGATAGGCGTCAACTACGATTGTTGGGCTTCTTCAAGAACTTTTCAAGTGGGAGACTCTTTGGTTTTTGAATACAACAACGATTTCCACGACGTCACTGAAGTCACTCACAATGATTTCGAGCTGTGTGAACCGTCTAAACTGTTGGCAAAATACCAAACCGGATCTGATACGATCAGTCTAACCAAACCGGGACTCCAAAACTTCATATGTGGAGTTCCTGGTCATTGTGACATTGGACAAAAGCTTCAAATCCTTGTCCTACCTGCCTCGTTGGGTCCCGTTGCAGCTCCACTTCCCCGACCGGTCCGATCACCGAATGTCTCCTCCTCTCCGTCTCCTTCACCGGTTAATAATGGTCCATCACCAGCTCCACATAGCGCAGCTTCAACCTCTGATGTTTGGATCGGATTCAGCTTCCTCCTACTTTCTATTTTCATCTTAGTTTGATAGATCAATTTTTACATACGTTTTGATTCCTTTTGGTCCTACTTCTAATTTTTATCATACGTTTGAGTTGTAGTTTACTTAATATTTTTTTGTGCTTCAACATCATTCCTTTAGTTGCGACAGTTAATAAAAAGATGAATAAATCTTGAAAGTAAAACATAGTATTGTATATTTTATCTTTGGATGTATCAAAGGTCGAATATATACAGTAGAAGGTTACATTTTATAAATCTAGAAGACGGTAGAATATAACATATATGGTGGGAAAGTATTTTTTCTTTTGACCAGATATAAAGAATTTTACGAAAACTGATCTTAAATGCATCAACCTTTGCAAATGAACAAAGATCCAAAATTGTACATGAAACAACTGATGTGGTCTGCTCATCATCAACTCCAAACAACAGGCAGAATCGGTTTTTCTTTTTCTCACCGGCTCTTAAGATCGAGACAAGACTCCTTTCGAACTGCAAAATATGTGATAAACCAAAAACGTCAAGACTTGTTTTTTCATCATAATACATTCTTCTTAAAACTGAAATAAGAATAGTTTTTGCATCTGTAATTCAGAGTCAAACCTTGGTATTGTCCCACCACGACGTGGATCAGACTCTGTTGCTTGCCGGAGAGCCCTTGCAAAGGCCTTAAAGGTTGCCTCTATTATGTGATGAGAGTTTTTACCAGCAAGCTGTCATAACAAATCGAATTGAAGAAATTCTTGTCAAGAAAAAGAGTTCTGAAACATTAGTTTTCTTGTTTGCCTTAATCAAATATTGGAATCGTAATACCTGTCGGATGTGAAGTGTCATACCAGAAGTATTCACCAATGACTGAAAGAAGTGCTCCACCAACTAAATGAAAGAAGATTCGTTCAATGATCTGACACAAACCAAGAAAGAAAAAAGATAGAAAAAGCCTGAAACTTGAAGTGACCTGCGTATCGTATGTTCCTACTCTCTGCGTTGGTATCTCTAAGTTGTAACCAAGATATGGTCTACCAGATAGATCCTGCCAAAATTTTCATCCATCATCAATTATCAAATTACTGAATCACAAAACTAGATAGATGCAAACAGCAAGCTCACAGATTGTAATTATATATACCAAGGAAACATGTATAAGTGCTTCATCAAGAGGAGCTGTGAAATCTACGAAACGGTTAATCCCTTTCCGCTCCCCAAGTGCCTTTAACAAAGCCTGAGAGATAACAAAAACAGCAAAATTACAGTACCAACTTCCAAAGAAATGCTGCTACAAGAAGAGAAAGCGGGTTTTCTTTTGACTTACTGTTCCAATGGCAAGAGCAACGTCTTCATTTGTATGATGATCATCGATGTGAGTGTCACCGGTAGCTCTTACGTGAACATCGAACAATCCATGTGAAGCAAGTTGCTTATCAAAAGACAAAACATAAGAAAATGGTCAGAAACCATAAGTGTTTCAGCAACACTCAAAAATCGAACAAGGTTCCATTAAAATCGATTGAATTAAGCTCTTGTCAATCTCATAAACGAAACAAAAACGAATCAAACTTGATGAAATGTCCAAGAATTGAATTGATAAGACAAAATGGTTTACATCTAACATATGGTCGAGGAAAGGGATCCCAGAGGAGCTATCTGAAACTCCATTACCATCCAAGTTTATCTTCACAGAGACCTTTGTTTCCTTTGTTTCTCTCTTCACTTCACCTATTCGACCTGATCAAATCAACCCGAGAAATCAGGAACCAGAGAGCGAAATGAGATTCCTCTCATCTATATGTAATCAAAGAGCTAACCTGATTCGATCGGAGAAGAGGAAATCGCCGGGAAACCGTTATCTCCGGGAACCGAAGCGCAGGGGACAGATTCGTGATGCTGAGACTGAGACGCCATCCGTAGGAATCGAGGAGGAGGAAGAGAAGATGCGATTGATAATCGCCGAGGAAAGAATCGGAGAAACTGGGTGGAGGAAGAGTGGCTGAAGATGGCCGGCGCATAAGAGAGCTCCATGGTAGAGTAGAGAGAGAAGAAGAAGGTTTGATTTGTGATTTCTAAACCATAAACGACATCGTAATGTCGGAATGTCAAAGTCAAGATTTTAAGTAAAATAAAAGTGAAATAATTTTCGCCTTTGCTCTTGAAGCTAGATTGGTCTGCGATGGCACTGTAAGTGCAACGTGTGACTGGTTCAATGCTCGAGCAAGGCATTGAGGAGAGAGAGAGAGAGCAACGAGAAATGTTATATATAAAACAAAACAAAAAATAAGAGTTTTTCATATCATACGAGGTATTCTAAAATATCTCTTTTTGTTTTTTTTTTTTTTTGAGGAAATAATCTTAAAACAATGGATACAATATTTGTATGAAAACTGAAGAAATGGGGATGGCTTTTCTGAACAAAAGCTGTTTATATTTGTTTTTGCTTACAACATTCAGATCAATGGATTGATGTGAATTGTAATATATTTGGTTTTTTTTTTTGAAATGGCTGTAAAAATAGAGAAAACAAATTGCTAAAAGTACTCAATTATCCACATATGTTTGGACATAGAATCGAGTTCTTGTGAATGGGCAGAGCCGGGTGCTAATTTCACTCATATGCAAGAATTCTTTTGTTTATTCTACAAGTAAGAACTTGTTTGCGAGATTCATGACTCATGAGAACAACGATTTGGGAGAAACATGCAACGATTTAAATGCTTCATAAAACAAATTTAAACAAATGAGAAGTAGTACATGCTCAAAAAAAAGAAGTAAATGTTCTAAGAAGCATTTTCGTCGAACATGGTGGAGGAGGAATAAATGAGGTGATGATAACACAGAAGATAAGAGGGCAAAAACTCACCGTCGTGAAGCTCGACGGCAGGAGAAGGCACGAGGCCATGAACATATATTTATATATATATGCATAAAACGAATATAGACATTATTAACAAATTCTATTTAGAAAAGCACCAAAATGCTATTAAAAAAAGGAAAAAAAATAAACAGCGATCACAATTTAACTCTGCTTCATTGCTTTGCCGGAAAATCATCATCTTCTTCTCTGTTTTCCGTTTCACCAGTATCCACTGGGGAGCTGATAATATGATCCAAGAAAGCCATGTCGCTGTTCTTTTGAGGAGGAGACTCCATCAAATTCTCTTCTTCTTCTTCTCCAACAAAAGCGCTATATGAATTTGTTTTGCAGTCCATCTCTGATGATGCCTCCGCCATGGTTGATGTTTTGAACTCTGCCTCTTGCATTTTAGAGCATCCATCGTCGTATGAGCCCGGGACTAAACCATCACGGGAAGCGGAATTGACATCCTCGTACACTTGGTGTTTGACCACATCATCATCTGACAACGGTTTATTTCCCGAAGGTGATGCTGTCTCCAAGACAGACACTTGGTTAGCCTTGATCGAAGTATCAAAGCCTTCGTTGCATGGGTCACAGATAATGGTGCAATAAGTAAGAAATTCGACAAAATTATAGAGACACAAGATCGATAAAAAGTAGCTAAATTGATTAAAGCAAACCTGTGTCAGACTCAGCATGTCTTGGTGCTAAAAGCTCTTTCTGTAACACATCAATGCCGGGAAAGGCTAGTAGATTCATGGACCTCATTTCTTTCTTCAGAGAATCATCGACATGTTTAAAACCGAATTTGGATATCCAAACATGGCTAAAGTCAGCAGTTGCAGGGATAACAAGTAATTTGACTTTGAGATGTTGAAGAGCCTTCACGTACAAAAACATAGAGAACCAGAAAACAAATTAGCAGAGTTTAAACTTTCGCTACATCAAAGTAAAGAAGAAAAACAATTAGCTTACTGATTCAACAACACTGAAAAGCCGGCGACACATCCCTTGGTGTCTGTAGACATGCCGAGTTCCAATGAACGGCATCTCAGCTAGCCGGTTTCCATGAAATCTGAACAGAAGAGTTAGAATCTTTAATAACATGTATATTCCTTTTAGCAACAACAAAAATGCATCAAAACCAAAAAAAGAAAAAAGAAACTAGCGATCCTTTTTGTTGTAATCTCACACATAGGATTAAAAAACTAAAACAGAGGATTGTGAGGAGAGAAATAACCTAATAGATGCTGTAGCGACTATTTCGTCGCCTCTTTCAAGTAAAGCAGTATAGAATCCACCAAAATTTAGCCGATTGAAGTTCGACCTACGAGAAGCAATGTATAAACCAAAATAATCAACACAACGAGATACCAAAGATACATTACCAGTAGGAAAACAAATTTGAGGTGCTGAAAAGCTTACCCACAATTGTAAAGGACATTTCGTACAATATTCACCCCACTCCTCCTGTCAATAATAGGGAGGAAGCATTCATCCATGACTGTCATAGCTATGGCAAGCTTGATATTGCTTTCCACGTTATGAGGGTGTCCGCCTATGAATAACTCTGAATCTTTGCATTCCCTATGAACTAGAGACCATGAAAATCCAGCTTCCAACTCATGTTTGACACCGACATACTTCTTGACACCTTCAGCGAGCTGTTAAATCAAAAAGGCATTTTACTTTAACAGAATGCTTTGGTTAAGGACAGAAAATCCTTAGAAATCAGTCGCCTAGCAATTATTTTAAGGACGTCCAATATCTACCGCCTAGAAGCTGGATCACGCTTTTATAAAATGAAGGGAAGTTGCAAAGGGTTTGAGACTTGAAAGAAAAATACCGCTTTGCACGTCTTTCCACAAAAGGAGTCAACTGGTTCAGTGGTGCCAGCTGAGGTAGTATTTGCCTCCAGGATGCATGATTTGTGATCTAGAAAGGGAGAATTCCAACGTCAATTAGAAACAATAAGCAAAACTGAGTGAAAACAAATATGAATTATTCAAAGCAGTGAAAGAACAAATGACATACATTTTTTCTCACACATTTTGCAGGTATTTTCACCCACACTCTGAGTAAAATCTTCGACAACTGCCTTACAGAATTTGCATATACAATTGGGGCAATGCCAATCACCAATGGGAAACATCTGTAATTGAACCTCAAAAAGATCCAATAAGGCATCAGATGACCCTAAAACAACCCTGGTGTAGTTAAAGTCAACGACACTGCTCGATAGAGATTATATATGTTTTGAATCTTATCCCTTCATTTAGCTATAAGTCTTTATCTAACATCTCTTCATAAGGAGCACCACATTGACCATTCTTTCCCTTTTTGTAAATTTGCATAGCTTAGCACTAACTTGTTAAAAAATAATCCATCGAAGACAAATATAAAAAAACAGCAAAATCAGCATACCCGTATGTCTAGGCATCTTTGGTGGAAAGTTGAAGGACAGCCATCACAACAAACTAAATCACCTCCATCTCCACAAATACCACAAGCATCGTCATTTGGATCATCAGCAATTACATCTACCGAACAAAAACCGATGTGCCCAACACCCTTTTGCTTATCCCATGCATCGATTTGGCATTGAAGAAGAGAAACCCCAGAATCCAAAAATATGTTCTGAAATGGCTGCTGCAATTTGCTTCCAGCATGTATCTCAAACTTCGAAACTGAAAGAGTTTTACAACAACAACCACAGTGAATCCCCTCTCTTGTTATCCAACCCTCAAGCATAGCACGTGACCGTCGTTGATTCATGTACATCACCTTTTCACTCAACTGTATGGTTCCACTATCAATCAGCCATCCCAGTACAGTACGTTTTTCAAATGAAGGCACGAAACCATCACTCTCTGAATTATCTCCCTTGATTGAACGCCGTACCAACAATGTACTCCTACTATGTTTGGTACTTTTCCCTCCATCCACACGGTGAGAGGAGGAACAAGTTGATCTTTCAGTTTGGCGATGCAAAGGGCTTTCGCTTTTTGAAGTTGTACCCAGTGAGCCGTCTCTGTCATTAACCTCATTCTTTATTGACATGGCAACCCCCTCTGGAGAGAAGCTTCGCTCTTCATTACGAACATATCTATCACCGTTTCTTACTTCGTTTCTATTAGCTGAGAAATCTCTTCCAAAAGTCGCTTGTCCGTCGCTATCACTGGCACATTGTTCCTCCCTTTTCATATCTTTCTCAATCTTTCTTTTGGTTTTCCGTGTCAACTGACTGAGTATCTCATCTGAGATCAGAGTAAATGAGGAACTATCTTCACAAGGCTTGGTCACTTTTTCCCCACTATTTAACTGCTTAAGAAGTGCTTCATAAGCCTTGATAATAGACCAGTATGCTGTTCCCCTGGGGCTTATATAAACTGCATCTAGGTAGTCTCTATTCCTTCTAGGTCTATAATCAATCGTCCACCCTGCTTCCAGTAACATTTCCCTGATTCGCTCACGTAATCTCTGTTTCTCCGTGCCTGAACCGCGCCTAATCTTTCCATCTCTGACTTTTGGAGGCGTTGAAGCTTCAGGTGAGGGTTTTTCTCCTCCAGTGCTTGATATCTGGAAGAGCTTATGAGGCTGAATGACTCTCTTCTGTAGCCTCCCCGAAGTATCACTATCTTCAGAATCTTGCTCCTGGCCCTTACTCTTCCTGGTTAAGGCCGTGGCCATTTTCAACCCATTTGACTGAATCCTCGCAGGGGGAAGCAATTTCGCCATATTTTCCGTTTTAATAGAGGTTGGGGACTGGATAGCAACACGTATTTTACCAGTCTCTTGAACCTTTGAGCCATATTGAATTTGTTTAGCTTCCATGTCAGTGAAATTTTGCGGCAACCCTCCCACCTTATTCAGCTTTTTCGGCATCACCTTGAGGACACCATTTTTCCCCTGAACCCTGATCGGTACATCGAAATTCATGTCACGCTTGTACTTCCTCTGTAACGCATGAGTTTTACTATCGTTTCCACTCACCATACACCTGTTTCTATAACCTTGATTAGCAAGACCTATGTTCCCCGATCCATCTAACCATGGTTTTCTTCTCTTCTCGATATCTAAATCTTTGCTACTAGAGCCAGTTCCATATTCCCTATCAATGCCAAATTGACCAGACCCCAAATTAACTTCACTACCATCAAAGGATCTCTTCATCCTCATTGCTAACAATTCGTCTCCACTCTCCTCATTTTCATCATCATCGTCATCATCCTCATCATCATCTAATCTATGCCTCTTACTCTCCTTCCACTCTCTGCTCTTTCTCACAAAACAATCCCCATTCCCCTCAACCAAATCCCTTTTCAAGCCAAAACGACTCTCTTCTACATTGCGATAGTGTCTCATATCTTGTTCAAAAGGAATCGTAAGTTTGTCGCTAGACTCAGAATCACTCTTGATTATCCTAGACCTCTTCCTATCCAAAATCGGACGACTATCTGAAAACGAGCAGACTCTACCACCAACCCCATCGCTCTTCTTCACAATCAAGCAACCAGAGGAACTTCTTTTCTTTATCAATATACCTGGAGGTTCGCCGGATCTCCTGCCACCTCTCTCCATGGACACCCAAAACTCAATCCACCGGAATCCGATTAACAGCCCTAGATTTCCCACAATTTCACCACGAATTCCAAAATGCAATCACCGGAGACCATGAATCTCCAACGGTGAAGAACCCTAGGAACGCCAGATCTAAATCGACGATAGATCGATCTGCCAAAATTCCCTCAACGAGAGGCGAAACGTGAAAGTAGCTGCGGCGAATGATTCCCGGCGCGGAAACGAGCAAAATGGATGGCTTCCGCCGATTAAATAGCCTGGATTTACTCCGGCGGCGGGCGGAGATGTAATTTCCCGGCCACCAACACGAGAAAATTGGAAGAAAGAAGAGAGCGTTTGATCCACACGGCCTTAATTATATTTTCCACTGTAAAAAAAAAACAAAAATCAAAATTCATAATGTAAATAGAATTTTTTGCTAAATTTAATGTTTATTTTATTTGACGACAAAAAAAACTTTTTATTTTCTCACGAGCTTAATTAAAATTTTATTTTCTGTGCTTATTTTTACGTTGAGGATAAAAAAAAAATTAAAAGAAAAAAACCTTCTTGTAGTTTGTACGTACCTCTTCGTTTTTCCCTCCAAATTTCGTTGGACGACGCAAATCGCTTGTTAAACTTTCGGTAGTGACTAAACCAAAAAAAAAAAAAAAAACCTTTGGGCAGTGACGTAAGACGTGGCAAGATCTGAGAGCTATTTCCGACAATGGAAAATGACGTGGCAAGATCTTATGGCTTCGCCAAAAAAGGGTCGCTAGTGTTAATTTTGTATAATTTCTGTCAATTACTGGAAACATGTCCCCTCAAGGTATACATGTTAGTACAGTACACAACTAAAGACGAGTATCTTAGGAATTAACTAAACCCGGTTCTCGTTTACCGACTCGATTTTGGTTCGTTTACTCCATTTAAAAAGGTCCACATTAGTCCGGTTTGGCTTGGTTTTGGTACGTTAACATTTGAAGTTTTGCGATTAACTCGATTAGACACCATTTTCTGGTGTAAACTGCGTGTTATAGCAGTTATTAAGTTTTATTAGTTTACACTATGATACTTTGGTCATTTAATTTCATCTCATGGCATATTGTGAAATAAAAATATGTATGTATCCTTTCAGAAGCTTGCAAAGCATCTAAGGTGATATGAGATTACGGACTTGTAGTTGATGAAGTGTATTGTAGCTGTACGTATGGTATACTTAACTCTAGAAACAATGTGAGCTTTTAAATATAAACATATGACCTTGTTTGTTTACCTATCGTTAATGGTAGCGATCAAATTTTTTTTTAAATGTTAAATTTTATACCAATTTTAAAATTTTGCATCAACAAAGTTACAAAAATAACTAAGAATGCAGAAAAATCAAAAACTACAAACAAATACAAAGAACAATATGAAACAAAGAAACAAGAAAATTATGTACACGCGTGTTCAGATATTTGCATTTGCAGTTCTAAAGAACCGAGTCTTCATCATTGTCGCCACGAGGAATTCCCACCAGAGGCAAGCACTCAAACCATGTTTCTTTGAGGACAAACACAAAAATAACCATTTCAACGAACTACGTCACAACCTGCAACATAAAAGTCTCTCCATTTCGACCAAAAAAAAAAAAAAAAAAAAAAGTCTCTCCAGGCAGCCAGAGAAACCGCTTCCGGCTGCCATTTCCGAGCTTGCAAGAGCTACGAGAATCATCTCCTACAGAAATTAAGAGAGATGCCAAAAACAAATCTACCATTTCTATTCGTCTCTAGACTGGGTCAAAAATGGAACCTCTTAAATTAGTGGTTAATTGTTGTTCTTTTTTTTATCGCTATGTAGCAATTAAATACAGCTAGCAGTGATATATACTTTTTTTAGCAGTTAGATTTTTCAGCATTCTATCTATACTATTAAAACATAAAAATTGTTTTTGTAACAAAATTGTTGGAAGATATCAAAAAAACAAATAATAACTTTTGTTTTCAATAACACATATTATTCGTTTTTATGTGGGCATCATAATATCAAGTTACAAAGTAAAACTACGATATCTGACTTTAAATTATACAAATTGGAGTATACATACTTTTTGTGATCATGTGAGTATACTAAAAAAATATTGAAACAGTATATTGTATTTCTGCTTGTATTTATAAAAAAGAGGTCCCCATGTTTGTTTTGCTCCCTTTGAAAAACGTAATCATGATTATAGTTTACTTAATGACACAGATGGTACTCATCTAGTGGAAATAATCAGCTTTGTGTCAGAAACTACTACAAATTATTTGCTGAAACGCTTTGGTTAGACGGTTACTGTGTTGGGAACTCTCCCCTCTAATTAAGTTACTAATAGACATTTTTTCATTTTGACATTTACCTAACTAATGTACACTTTGACACTTTCTTAAGCATTTCCAATAGTTTTTTTCATTTTTTCCTTTAAAAATAATATTTCTTCAAAAAATAAAACAAAAATGAAGAAACTATTGGAGAAAACTCTCTTCATTTTTTTTCTTCAAAAAAATATTCTTAAATATATTCTATCTATTATTAATTAGTAACAAAATCCTTTACTTTGCAGTTTTACAAACTTTCATCAATTTATTTTATTTATAGAAATTGTTCAACTTAAAAATTTATTATATAAATAAAATTACACTACATAATATAAATAAAAATAAATTATAACATAATCTTATGAATACTAGTAGACATATGTTTTTTTCTAAAAATGATCAGTTAATGCATTTTAAAATGAGAAATGAGCTGGTTATGTTCTTGTATTTTAATTTTGTTCTTGGCTATTTTCTTTTTTTTATGTTATTGTATTTTTTATTGTGATTATTGCATTTTTGTTTTATAATTTGATTTGATAAACTCATATTCTTAGAATTAATTGGGTAGAAGAAAATACATATTTTTTCTAGGTATCAATTAAAATATATAAAAGTTAGAGATATATTTTGTAAATAAAAAAGTTCACTTTCAAAAATTAAAGAAATGAATAGTATTCCTTCAAATATGAATGAATTTCATTTCTTTTGAAAGTGAAATTGAAGCACCATTAGAATTTTTTTTTATTTTTTTCCTTTAAATGAAGGAAAATGTGAAATTTGGAAGACTATTGCAATGCTCTTATTAGTTACCTAATTCACTGACTTTGAAAAGTATTCATATAGTAATAAAGTAAATATGTGTGATAAATTGAATATAGTGACTAATTAAATTTAATATTCTTTTGAATAGGCGCTTTGGTTAAAGCAAATTATTGATGAGAGGTAGGAGAATGTTGACCAGAACCTAAACGATTATAGGAAAATACACCAAAATAAATAAATTGGTAATTTTTACAAGAACAAATTTATATTCTTGGAAAACATTATAGTTGAACACGGAACCGATTAATTTTACTTTGAATGGTAATCAACAAATTATTGATCCCATTATATATAATCCTTTCACACTTTCACAGTTTCACTTATTGGAGCTCCCTCTCATTCTCAGTAATCGCACGCGATTACGCATTTCCCTAATCAGAGCGATGGAAATTGACGGTGGAGATCGTGTCTCCGGCCAAAAGCCGATCATCATGGTCACTAACGACGACGGTATAGACGCGCCTGGCCTTCGTTCTCTGGTTCGGGTCCTCGTCTCCACTAACCTCTACGACGTTCGCGTCTGCGCTCCTGATTCGTACGTTTCTTACTCTTAAATTTTTGTAGAAATGTTGCTGTATCGCCTTTGATATACGATCTACTGGCTCTCTGCTCTTGTATGATGAATATGTATGAATTTCGAGTCCGTGGACTCATTTGGAAGTGCTCGTCGTTTGATATAATCATGATTCTTAGAAATTGTAAATTGGAATTTTGATTGCAATTGGAACTCGCGAATATGTTTAGATGTTACTCTAACGTATGTGCACTGAGAGATTCACTGCTATATGGGAGTTTCTTGTGTGATGTGTCTGGCTTTGCTCCGTTCAATTTGTACACTAGATTCTTTATCTTTTCCATTTTTTCGTTCCTATTTGGATGTGATTTGTGACTCTTTGCTTGTTATGTCATTTCCAGGGAGAAATCTGCTGTTAGTCACAGTATTATATGGAGTAGACCCCTCACTGCACAACGAGTAGAAATTGATGGAGCTGTAGCCTATGCTGTTTCTGGTTTGTTTCTATTGTTAATGATTTGTTAAAAAGCCTTGAACTTTGAGAGTTTACGGCACTTTTTCTCGTTAATTAGTATGGTTTGAATTGTATGAAATTTGATTGAATGTTGGACACATGTTGGCTCTTCTCTTGGATAACTTGGTTCTGTATGCTCTGAAGGAACCCCTGCGGATTGTACTGGTTTGGGCTTATCGGAAGCACTCTTCCCATCACTTCCTGACCTGGTAACCATATTTTGCTACAAATTAGTACAGTGATCTTGTGGAAGTCTCACTATAAAAACCTTCGGATGCAAAGTGATTTTCATTATGTGCTAATAGAGCTTTCGATTTGTGTCTAACAACAGCTACTTCTGTTTAATCTATAGGAAACTTCGATGAACCGTTGGCTTATATTCTCCATCTTCTTTTCTGGAGATTGTGAATGTGATGTATGTTTTGTTTTCTCCATGCAGGTTCTTAGTGGTATAAACGTGGGTAGCAACTGCGGATATAACATGTCTGTGAACGTTTCCTCCTCTGTTTCCCGTTGCTCTGATTTCAAATTTCATTACTACGTTACGTTTTGTTCTGATTATTAGAGTGCAAATGTAATTTTTCTGTTCGAAAAAATCGCATTCAAGCTTCATAAATGATAAAACCATCAAGATGGTTGAAACTTCTTTCAGGATAAGTAGAAGATATTAAAGGTATAGAAGCAGATATAAATAGTTTAGAATGTTTCTCTGGCAACCAGACTTCTCCTCTAGCCACTTTATTTGTATATGGCTTGTTATGCTTCTATGGTCCCTGCCTGTGTTTATAAAATTAGCACTAACGTGGCTTGTTGTTTTCATCGCAGTGTCTATTCTGGAACTGTCGCTGGCGCTCGGGAAGCCTTTATTTATGATGTCCCTTCTGTCTCCATATCATATGATTGGTAAGAGTATATCCTCAAGAAACTAATGTTTTTAGTTTTACTCGCAGAGATTCTGTTTGCTACTTTAGAATTTTCATAACTTGTATACTTCTTCTCTATTTGTGTCACGATCTTAACTTTTTTATTTAGCCTTCATATAATGTTACCAATACGGAATACCATCTATTTGTTTGGTCACTAATACCATCTAATTTTTTTCATCCTTAATGCTCTCTAGGAAACGTGGAGACATCAATGTTAATGATTTTGTCCTTGCTGCCCAAGCTTGCTTGCCTATTATCAACGGCATACTCAGTGCGATCAAGAACAAAACTCACCCAACAAATTGCTTTCTGAATATCGATTTGCCAACAGATATTGCTAACCATAAGGTAAAGTCTCATGGCAGCTTTAGACGTCATTATCTTATACCTACGCCTAACTGTCCCTCGTTCTGAGTTTCATATGTCTTATACTTCCTTTCCAAATGAAGGGATACAAACTAACTACACAAGGTAAGAGCTTGGGTAAAATGGGATGGAGACAAGTGGAGGAGAAAGCACAAGGAGCGAAGATGTTGTCAACAATGACAATGGAAACAGATTCAGGAGTAGTCTCAGAAAACGGCACATCTGCTGATCATTCACAAGATACCCGTTTATTCAAGAGAGAGGTATCAATAATGATTTGTCACTAGTGTGCTTATCTTACTTCCTCTGTTTCTTCTACATATAAAATTGAGTCCTTTCGGTTCTTTTGCTTGATAGCTAAGGACTGTGTTGGTTGAAGAAGGGACTGATCTCCACTTTCTAAGAGAAGGATATGTAAGCATCCCATATATGTCTCTTGAACTCATCTCCACACCGTTATCTTAACTTAATGGTAATCAAACGCTCTTTTAAAACCGCAGATTACAGTGACGCCGCTTGGAGCTCTATCTCAGGTTGATGTGGATTGCCAAGACTACTACAAAGAATGGCTTCCCAAGATTACAAACCAGCCATATTCTTCATCCTTGTGATGCGACCATATGAAAAATTCACTTTTTAAAGGAACTTACCCATTGTGGACCACAATCTGTGGTGGACCTATTATTCTATCAGTATTAGTTTAATTATCCATACTCTTGAGTTATTATATTGTGTTCTATATGCAGCTAAAACTCTGGCAACAAATTTTGTTGCAAGTCAACCATGATCATATAAATCATTAGCTTATGAACTCTTTTGCATTAGCTTAACCTGTTAAAACGAACAAGCCTACAATGTGTTTTTCTAGCATGTGTGATGTGACACATTACATCAACTAAAAATATGCATGTGAGAATCACCTCTCTCACATGAAGAAGAAGACATCGTCCTCGAAGGTACATATTAGAATCCCAAATTAATATGAAACCAAAATAGTATAGAAGAGACCTGGTTTTGACTTTTGAGTTGAAAACTGATGAAACTTAAACACGTACATAATTCAACTATACATCTTTGAGATTCTAGCGATCACTACATTTTTTTTTTTCTGATCAATAAATTTCTCGTTTCAACCAACAAAAATATAATATCCAAAATTACAAATGACAAAAAGACTTGTTTTTAAACCTTTGATTATTTCACTTGTTGAACTTACTAAGACTTGAGCTTGTTTTCGGTTAGCTGAGAATCAGAGGTGGATTTAGAGTCACCACGACCAAAGGCAACCTCGTCCATGCTCTGGCCTAAGCGGCGGTATCTACCTCCGGCCTCCACAAAAGCAGGGCAAGGCCTGTAAGCCTTAATGGGCCACCAACCGAAACCAGGGACTGTAGCAATGCCGCCTTGAATCCTCCCTTCGCCATTGCAACCACTCTCTTTCTCCTCCTTCCCGCACCCTCTGCAACCACTCAGATTGAAGTTGTCTTCGTCGTTGCCATTAGTTTCTACGACGGAAGCCGGGGAAGAAGATAGTGGACGATGATGATGCTTTGTAGATTTGTTGAGGATGAGACTGCTCGTTGATGGGTTTGATTTGTGACTGCCATTGTTGGCGATGAAACATCGTGGTAGATAGATTGAAGAAAAGGAACTCGCCATTGAGCTGAGAGCAGAGGCCAGAGAGTCTGAGAAGATGATAAAATTTGAATGGCCACAAAATGATAATGATAACGAATTTATACCTGTGGCTTCTTTCAACTACAAAGTCTCTGGACCAAAGAGAGTCTCTTAATACATGTTTAACTTTCAGAAGTCGATTAGTCTCTTGCTCTGACTTTGAATCTTTCTTCTTCTTCATTCTTTAAGCACACTTAATCACTCTTATTAGTATAATTGGCTCCGATTCTTCACTTCAAAATTGACTAAGCATAATATATATAAAGTTGCAACACTTCACCAAACCCTTCAAGCATATAGGAATTGATTAGATAGCTTTACCTTTTTCACATAAGTTATTAGCTTCTTAAATCTTCTTCTCAAATTCAGTTGTATCCATCACCAATCTAGCCATATCAACCAGTGATGGTGATCACAATTGATGTCATTTCTTTTTTAGTTTTGTTTTTTTTTTCATCCCAAAATTGATCATAAGTGAGATGGAGAATGTCATTAATTAGTCAATAATGTCATCTTCGTCATCTAAATTTTCTTTCTGAACAAAATCCTAGAAAACGTCTGAAATTCTTATTTTCCTCAATTCGTTATAATAAGATTTGACAATACAATGACAAACTGCATGCTACGGGTTCTATTATCAGCTATACGAATCAAGGTTTTAATCTCCTACTCTATAGAAAGAGACTATTAAATCTTTATTTTTGCTTCCAATTATGTTATTAAACCCAATTACCCTATAATCTGTTATTGACAAACAATGGAAACAAGAGTGAAAAAGAAGATCATCAACTTAATTCATTTGTGCCTTCTAGAATTTAGGTGAGAAAATTATGTAACGTAAGAAAATTCAAGCGCAGGACCTGTGATTGCAATAACATCATCACATGTACAAGTGGGAGATTACTTAGTAATCTTGCATAATCCTTGTTTTATTGTTTTTCCAACCATAATCTTTGGTTTGCACTTCAAGTTATGATATATATAATATACAATCGTTATACATAAAATCCGTATGCTATTAAGTTTGCTCCCTTAAAAGAGAAGGAAGAGTATATAACGTGATAATCATTTTTCATCTTTACGTTTCTTATCATTCTAATTAATCTCATTCGACTTTCCAAGTCAGACTATATGTTTAATTTTTATTCACATAGATCACATGCACATATAAACATTTGGTGCATGAATATATATATATATATATATATATATATATATCGTTGTCGTCTTCTTCAAATAACAACTCCATAAAGATTCTTTCGGACTAATTAAATTTGACCATAAATTTTCCATCAATGAAGAGACCAATACTAATTACCCTAATCTTTCTCCTACAATGTGCTTTCAATCATAGCCTACATTTCCACCCATTAGATCCCTTAACTCCCCAAGAAATCAACAAAACAAGCTCCATCGTCAAGAAATCTCATCTAGGCAAACTCAAAGATCTCACATTTCACTACCTCGATCTTGAAGAACCAAACAAAAGCCACGTACTAAAATGGCTATCGTCCAAGAACAAACCACCACAACCACCACGTCGTCGCTCGCTCGTTGTTGTTCGAGCCGGTGGTCAAACCCACGAGCTCATCATCGACCTAACCACAAGCAAGATCGCATCCTCACGCATTTACACAGGCCATGGCTTCCCTTCATTCACATTCATAGAGCTTTTCAAAGCAAGCAAGCTTCCTCTAACTTACCCTTCTTTCAAGAAATCGATTCTTGATCGATCCCTAAACATCTCCGAGGTTTCTTGCATCCCTTTCACCGTTGGTTGGTACGGAGAAACCATCACGAGACGAGAGGTCAAAGCCTCTTGCTTTTACAGAGACGGATCGGTCAACGTTTTCACAAGACCCATCGAAGGAATCACCGTGACCATAGACGTTGACTCAATGCAAGTCGTGAAATATTCTGATAGATTCAGAAAGCCTCTCCCTGATTCAAAAGGTAACGACTTTCGGACCAAACACAAACCTTTCCCGTTCTCTTGCAACGTCTCCGACACAGGCTTCAAGATTCTCGGTAATAAAATCATCAAATGGGCTAATTGGAAATTCCACGTCGGATTTACCGCTCGAGCTGGGGTCACCATATCGACGGCTTCGGTTCGTGACCCGAGAACTAGAAGGTTCAGACGAGTGATGTACAGAGGACACGTGTCAGAGACTTTTGTTCCGTACATGGATCCTACCTACGAATGGTACTTCCGTACGTTCATGGACATCGGAGAGTTCGGTTTCGGGAGATCCGCCGTCAATCTGCAGCCGCTCATCGACTGTCCACAAAACGCTGCGTTTTTGGATGGACACGTGGCGGGACCAGATGGGACAGCTCAGAGGATGAGCAATGTGATGTGTGTCTTTGAGAAAAACGGTTATGGTGCTTCGTTTAGACACACCGAGATTAATGTTCCAGGACAAGTGGTAAACTTCAAAATCCAGCTCCTTAATTACTTATATAATTATATAAAAAGTAACTAATTAATAATTCATAACTAATGTTGTTGCAGATTACTAGTGGTAATGCTGATATTAGTTTAGTGGTTAGAATGGTGGCAACACTCGGAAACTATGATTACATCGTGGATTGGGAATTTAAAAAGGATGGAGCCATCAGAGTTGGGGTAATGTAAACTTAATGTATTTTAAATTTTTTTTTTTTTAATAATCAAGAAGAGGTTTAGGAAATCTGTACATTCTCCTAAGTTCGGATTAGTCTTTAATATTATTATCCGTCCCAATTATCAATAATAACTCGACTTTTTGGATTATCCCATAGTATATTTCCAGTCGAGTTATCGATCTCTTTCTATTTCACAATAGATCTGATATTATAGAAATGTCGAAAAAATTTCTATACAAAAATTTTAAAATAATTTAATAATTTATGTGCAAAAGTCTTAAACATCATTTATTTTTAAATTGATGAAATAATTTTTAGCTTAATTGAATTATTTTCAATGTAGTTTCTCGGATTTTTGAAAATTTTCTCCAGAAATTTTCACCAATGTAATTCTTCTATTCTACTTTGATAGTTTAATAAAAATTAGATGAAAAAAGAAAACTAGCTAAAATCATGCGTCTCAAAGTATTTGAGCAAAAATCTTTATTGTGATTTTCATAATTTGCATAATCTTTCTTTGACAATGCAAGTTCTCAATAATTATATATGTAGGTGGATTTGACTGGAGTTTTGGAAGTAAAAGCGACGTCGTACACTTCGAACGATCAGATAACAGAGGACATTCACGGGACACTCGTGGCTAAAAACACCATCGCCGTTAACCACGACCATTACCTGACGTACTACTTAGATCTTGACGTTGACGGTAACGGTAATTCCTTGGTGAAAGCCAAACTTAAAACGGTAAGAGTAAAGGACGTTAATAACAAAACGTCTTCTCCGAGGAAAAGTTACTGGACGGTCGTCAAAGAGACGGCGAAAACGGAAGCTGATGGTAGAGTTCGGCTCGGCTCAGAGCCGGTTGAGCTGTTAATAGTTAACCCACAAAAAAAGACGAAAATTGGGAATACGGTTGGTTACCGGCTGATACCAGATCATTTACCGGCAACTTCTCTTTTAACGGACGATGATTACCCGGAGATAAGAGCGGCTTACACGAAGTATCCGGTTTGGGTAACCGCTTATAACCGGTCAGAGAGATGGGCCGGTGGGTTTTATAGTGATAGGAGCCGTGGAGATGACGGCTTAGCTGCATGGAGTAGCAAGTAAATTATTTTATTAAATTAATCATTTTATTATTATTTTTTGTCATTTATTCATAATAGTACAATTATTATTTACAAAAAGGAAAAAAAATGGAATAATTTTGTGGGTTTTGTCTTTTGGGAACAGGAACAGAGAAATAGAGAACAAAGACATAGTGATGTGGTACAATGTTGGGTTTCATCACATTCCATACCAAGAAGATTTTCCAGTAATGCCAACTCTTCACGGAGGATTTACTCTTCGACCTTCTAATTTTTTTGACAACGATCCTTTGATCGGGTAAATACGTTAGTTTATGTTTAATCTAGTAATACGAAGAAGATTGACACTTTCCTATGGCACGATATTGATTTTATGTTTTTTTTTTTTTTTTGGCCAAACTTTCAAATAATTGGTCCAAGTAAGATGTATTAGATTCAGCTGATTTTAAAAGTTTCTAATTGAGCAATGAAATTGGTTCCGAAATTTATTCTATAAATTTTTATATAATCTGCACATTATGGCACAATGGTCTCAGTACTAAGACCGTACTATAGTTCCAAGTTCAAATTCAGTATACAAAACATTTTTCGTGGAGACACTTTACACATTGGATTTCTAGTTTGGGTATAGGTTGCATAAAAACAGAGTATGCGGAAACAAAATATTTGACAATTACTTTAAAAAAAATTATAAGTATGAAAAACTTTTGCAAACATAAATCTACTTACTAATAAAAATATCTTATCTTATATATAAAACTTGGCCAACTCTCTCCAGTTGAGTGACACATCAGCGTTGGAGAGAGCCACCTGTCATCTTCAAATTAATAGAATAATTAATTAATTATATTTAAAGCAAAAACAATAAAACATATTAAAATATATTAAAACACATTAAAACTCATTAAAAACATAATAAATATTGATATATATTTATATTAGAATAAAATTCAAATTTAATTTAACTATATACAAACTTATAAATATTATATAATACAAGACTTTTTAAATGCACAATTCTATTTTTTTAAAATGTTTTAAACTTCATTTATAAACTAAAAATATAATTAAATTTTAATGCAAGTGAAAAAAATTATGAGACTAAATAAGTTAAATTTTTTTAAATAATCTTATATAAAAATTCAACTAATAAAATTATAAAACACAAATCATATTTAATAAACTATTAAAAAGATAAAAGTTATTAAAAATAATAGTAAAAAGAAAGATATCCACATAAAAATGCCATATATGGTTTTTTTTAAGTAATAAAAAAAGATGAAATCAATGAAATATATATAACCAAAACAATCAAATATTAAATTAAAAAAAATAACAAATATTATATTAGTACGATTTACAAGAATAAAAAGAATATAAAGATCGAAGAAAAAATGAAACTATTTAATACAACTGGTGTAAAGGAGATACATATAATATATCATCAAGAAGAAATAAAAAAAATATAACTATTTTAGACAAAAATACATTAATAATAAACTTAAAGTTCAATATAAATTATTTAAAATATAAATTCAAACAAGATCTGCGCATACGCGCGAGTTCTCTCCTAGTACTAATAAAAGTTATTGTTATATTTATATAAGGACATCCATATCAGCTTTTTAAACAGCCAATTAAAATATTCAAAATCAGCATTATAATTAAACGTTAAATAATGTCAAAAATTCTTAAAGAGATATCAAAAGAGCTAAATTACCACACAAAAAAAAATCATTTGAAAGGAAATTAACTTGATATATACTCTATAGAAAATCAACATAAAAAAACTTAACTGACAAAGAAATTGAATATATGTCTTAAAACTGTCATAAGGTAAAATTAGCACTGTGAATGAAGACTTTGTAACACATATTCTATCCATTAGGTATAATTACATTATTTACATGAAAGTCTTTGAATATGCCACATAAATCAGTTTAGTAATTTACCCAATGTATGCATGAATGCCCAAACATTGCCTAAGCTTCTTACAACGATTTTGCATGACTCTCTTCTGAACAACAATTCACCTGCATGACTCTCGAGAACGATTTTGCATGACTTTACTCAATACAACAATTTTGCATGATTTCAATTCATCGATTATGCAGTATTACTTACAATGAGTTTGAATTTTTCATGTGAATTTAGTAATTCTATTTTTTTATTAGTGTAGTTTCTTGCATCAATTTTAATGTTAATGAGATCTTGGATCGATAGTCATAAATTATGATTCACTTCATCTTTTCATCTCAAATTATCTATGTATCAACAGATCTAACGTTTGTCTAAATTTGTCATAACGATTTTGCTAACCTTCTGATTGAAAGATTTTAAATTCATCAGTTATGAATTAGTACATAAATGTGATTAGACTTACTACAAACTGATGAGTTTTACATTTTCCTAAGAATTCGATGATAGAATTCCCTGGTTCTTACAACAATTTTACTACCAATTATACTTCTATTTTATTATTAAGAGTTAGACAACCTTCGAACTTAAAAAAAACACATACATAAGATAATAGTTTCAGCATAAATTCAGAAATTGTAAGATGAAGTTTCAGAACATGATGAGAAAAATTTATATGTCCATGGATTGTAAATGGCGTGATTAAAGACAAAAAATTGAATTCTAGACAAGTAGTGTTGACTTTATTGCACAACTGTTGACCATAAAGATCTTTGTTATATGAGAGCAAGGATATTATCTTTCTCCACTTCGAATTCACATGACGAAAACAAACACAAATTAACATATTTCTTCTAATAGGATTTCCTATGGTTAACCTATATTAGGTTCCTCCCCCTCGATATTGGTTGTTTATAGAATTCTTAATTAGTGTAAAACTATTTAATTTTCTTTTTGGTCGGTACCAGCATTATCCGACGTCGTGCTGTATATATGTTTTTGGAGTAAATTCTGGTAAATCCAGATTTTTGTATAATATTTTTTTTTTTGTTTTTAGTTTCTAGGTTTCTCTGGATATTTTGTTTCTGTTAATCGGATAGTAATCTCAAGCGTAAACCGGTAATAAGTTCTGGCTTGTTCGGATTTTTTTTTGGTTTCTCTTTTTGCTTGCTCTATTTAAATCCCAAAAGAGTTAATTGCGTGTTGTTTCACCAGTACTTGTTTTTTTCTTCCACGGTGTGTAAATCCTCGCTCTCCTTGAATGAAATTTTGAGTGATGGTTCTTAATGGTTGAAAATTAACAAGATGAAGCGACTGTTTGGTGATGAGTATGACGAATTAGAACTTGTCGTCGTGTTCTGATGCTTCTCTAATGAATATTCCGCAACTGATCAAGCTGAAGAAAAGGATTAAATTTTGATTAACTAGATATCTTCCGGCAAAATCGCAAAAGGAGTCAAGTCGGTACCAACCACTATGACAAGAAGCTTCAACAATTAAAAAGATGATTTGTTAAGTATTACCAGCGTTGACTTTTCCCGGCGGTAAACGTTCACGGCGGAGAGATATATCACAGTGGTGATACATGTAAGATGGAACTTCAGATCTATCTGCTAAGGCGGCCACGTGGAGATATTTTCTTCTTTTCATACACACTAGTATTTGCCCCGCGCTACGCGGGTTTTTTTGTTGTTATAATATATTTTAATTTTATAGTGTTCATAATATTCATATGAATATCATGTATCATAGTATTCTGAAAGATTAATACAATAAAATATATAGTAAGTTGCCAAATTAACAATGAATATAGTAATATTTCAGAAAATCATACTAATTTGAACACTTAATTTATGAAATATCACTTTAATAAAGGTAAACCCTATATTACAATTTACATATCTCCTTTATATGAGAAAAAATGATATCAAAATAACTTATTACATGAAAAATCAAATGTAAAAAAATGTGTGAAATACACTTTTTTTAAGCTCACAGAATGTTATTTTAAGGTTTTTCCCCATTTAATAGAAACTACATTTTGTAAAACTAATCTTCACCATTTTATTACACCAAATTGGAAATGGAGAAGAGCGGTTGGTCTAGATAAATACCATGTTTTAGCCCAACGGAACTCTGGAGGCGAGCTAGTGAAAGGTTTAGCACTCTCCACCAGCTTTTTGTGAACCTCATGACAATAACTTTGATAGTTGGAATCTCGGTGACAGTTCCAACGAAGAGCAAATCTTAATCTCCTATAGTATCAAAACATGAAAAAGTACATTCAAAACTCATAACATAGACAAAATATGGTCTAGATTAGAGAACTCCAATCAGACATCGGACGCGTCAATGTTTTTTGAACTAAAGTGGTTACTGCAATCTTATACTCCTATAGTAACCACTTTAGTTTCACATATTGAAAAACTGATTCTAAAGAAAGTGAAGAGATTCAAGGACTACTTTCAACATGAAAGGTAAAAAGACCGAACATGATTCAACAAAATGAAACTTTGCCCCTAGAGAAAGTAAAGTTTTGTTGACTTTACTCATGAAATGCCTCTTCAATATCACTGGCACTGCATTGGACTTGTTCTGTGTTCTCCTTACCATCAACCGTTAAAGCTGCAAAATTTCTAAACAAAACTACAAATCTCATATTCAGTACGATTCACCGTAATAAAAACCTTTTTGATGGAAGGGAAAAAAAGGTAAAGGACATACATAGTTGATGAAAATTTGGCTTTCATAGTAAGCTTGAGTACACATCATCGGACTTTGAAGTTGTCTTTTTGGTGTTCCTGCATTTACCTCTAGCAATCAGTTCAGTACCTTGCAAACACTACGATTTAATCTCAGAATCAACATTGGAAGCAAAATCCAACCCCAAAATACTAAGAACAGATGGTTCACAATCTAAACCCGAGACTTATTGACAACGAATAACCCAGAAACCCAAAACCAAAAAGTCGAGAATTCACTCAATATCTAGAAAAATAGATTAACTATACTTGGAAAGACAGAACACTTACGACTGGAACTTTAAAATCAAACTCAAAAATAGGAAAAATTTAAAAAGGAGAGACGTTCAGAAACGGAGATTGAGAGATAGGAGAAAGCGGGAAGTACTATTGTAGATTCCGGGGAAGTGGTGCCGCCGTCGATCTGCAAGATAAGTTCCGCTGTCGATTTGGGGGTTTTTTTTTTACTTTCCACTATGGGCGTAGTTAATCTAGAGATTAAGATAGCGTATGAACTATGAACATTAAGTGAAATAGAAAGAAACGTAAATTACCAAATGAACTGAAATCAACAGATTAAAGATGATTTGACGTAAAGAGATAGTATGCAGACTTGATCCTAATATGTAGCCAAAATAATCGATCATAAAGCTGATTTTCCTTCGCTTTCATTTTCAATATAGCAAAAATATTATCACAGACATGTCGCCTTGACAATTGGAGAATGGAGATGAACTGACATTTCGACTCTATATCGATAATTGTTGAACAACAAATCATCACAAAGTCCACCCTCAAAACTTTTGAATCCGCAGCTACTCATTAAATCATTGATTTCAGAGTGGATTTTATCTGCAAAATTAGGAATTGGAGAGGTATTATGAGATGAGAATAAGAAACATAGGAGCTTATGTGATTGAAGTAATGAAAAGTCTTTGATAACCAAAAGTAGGAAGTGAGATGTGAAATCAAATAAAAAAAAAAAGTTGGAAGAGAGAGCGTCTTTGTAGAAGTAAAAGCTTGTCGTTTGAACTTGATGTTTTGTTTCCAATGTATTGCAGATGGGAGGGAGATGAATCGTTAGAGGGCCTCATTGGAGAAAAGGAGGCGAGTAAATTAGATGAAGTTGTCTATTCATATTTTTGGTATTTTCTGCGAATTTAACGGCAACGATAAAGATGATCGAAGGGGTGGAGATTTTTAGTTGGGCTGGATTTGGGCCTAAATTTAATGGACTGATGTGTTTTCTACTTTCTGGGTTGCAATACCTCTGTTGGATCATAATTATGGTTTTGGTGATGAGCTCTATTTCGAAGTTGAGAATTTATTCTAATGATGTGGCAAGTTTTAATGATTTTATTGGATGATTATTTTCCCTATTTTTTTGCTGACGTGGACAGCCTTAAAAGCCAGGAAAGTAAACCCTTTTATATAAAGAAGATGTTCTCTGTTTTAATGTATATCTTTGTATTTATGTGTGTTTTCGATTGGGCCTTAATATAAAAATGTTATTGTACCGATTTCATGCCTATTGGACTTTTAATAAAACTACTTGGTTAGTTGCAAATATTTTTTAGGGAAATATGAGGGAAATATGATTTTATTTAGGTTATTTCCCAATTATTAAAATCTATGGGATATAAACGATCTAAAAATAATTAATATTTCAAGCAAACATAATATTAAACGTGCTTTTGAGGAAGAGATCTTAAACATGCTCTTGAGGAAGAAATCTTGATTCCAATGAAAGATGCTTGCTGGCCGAGTCAATGATTAGAAAAGTGACCCCCTGTGCATGATTATTGATTTACTTGGTCCTAATGATTCACTTTCCATCCAAACTAATTAATGGGATTGATATTGAGCTTCTTGAGTCCGAATGGACGACTTTGTTAACTTGAAATGGTCCTAGAGTTTCTGATGAATGAAGGGACTGTTTTTTGAAAATCTCTGTCTCGTGACATACAAATTAGGAGCTCAAAAAGTACATCTTGATGTAAGATAGTCCGAAAGGATTTGATTGATTTAGTTTCTTGTTCTTTTTATGTAACCTATATTTTTTTTTTTGTCTGTTTTGTTTATGAGATGAGAGATCGGAGATTTAGAGTTGGTAATCTAATCGTGCATTGAAACTCTTGAGAGTTTGAAGATGCTCTCTTTGTTTCCCTTGATGCTTCACATGAGTGATAACACCGTATTTTGACCACTTTTATGGATCATTTTGAAATACTTTTTCTATGTTTTTAATTGCTTTTAAGTGCTTTTATTACGTTTTTCTAGTATTTGTAGTTCCAAGACTCTTTTCAGGTAATTTAGGGAAAATCTTAACAAAATGGATAGAAAACCAGATTTCAGCTCAGAGTCAAACCGTCAGAAGTTCACCCCCGATTGAAGGCCTTCTCACCGTCTGATCCAGCTCAAATTTGGAGATATTAAATATGGAAGTATCAGCTTTTCAGCACACTTTACAGCTTGGCAATCCAACGGTTCAATCAAAAGATACGCGAAGAGCAAGATGTCCTGTAAACCAGCCGGCAAGCGTTTCCACCCGCCGCCAACAGGCCATTCCCCGCGGTCACAACCACCGTGACCGCGGCCAACCACCCATTCCCCGCGGTCACAACCATCCCGACCGCAGCCAGTTAACTCCGACTCCGAAGGCCCATTTCTGAAGCCCATATCATTTTCACAGCCTTGATTCCGGAACCCTAGACCCTAGAGATGTCTTGAGCACTATAAATACATGTTTTAGGAACCCTAATTCGTATCACCTCATATGCTCTTATTGTTTTAGAATACTTTTTAAGTTTCAGGTTTTAGGGAGAGAGAGATTTGTCTCTTGAACCCTTGTTCTTTCTTTTTCAATTTTGGTTTCTATTCTACTTTTTAATACTATGTTTTTGATTTCGTCCATCATGTCTGAGCAGTTTTATTGTTGGGATTAAGGGATTTTCGATGGGGATATATATGTTCGGTGAGGATTCCATTAGCTTTTGAGCCGAATCTTAGAACTTTTTCTTCTGAATTCATTTTTACTGCATGAGAGTAGCGTCATGAACTACAATCTGATCCAGATGCTTGTTGACACGAAAGTGTTCATCCGGTGTCAGATCTAGTTTGGGAGAGCAAAACAAACATAGGAGTGGAAACCTACCTATGGGCGATTTGTGAATGCTGACGAGTCTTAAACATAATGCATCTCTTCTTTTCTAGGGCCAGAGTGGAAACCTACTGGTCAGGGTTGAGAGAGATAGTTGTCTATGATCACGAAAATGGCGTATTCATACGTCCGTGACTCCAGTTCGAAAAGTTTAAGCTAAGATCTTATCAAATTTACTCTCTAGCAATGTTTTGAATCGTTCGTACCCCTGAGAAAACTTCTCTGAACCCCAACGCCTTTTTTCTTATAGATTTACACCGATTTTCATTCAAGCTTTAATCTAGTTTCTTTACTCTTTCAATCGATTTTCACTTAGCAATTAGGTCTAGCCCTTTTTCTCGTTTTTACCCTTTTTCGTTAAGTTTAGTTATAAGGTAATTTAATTCCCGTAGTTTCTCTTTAAGATTTGTTTTTACGTTTCAAACACACCACCAAAACCCTCACAAAAGTCATCTGGTTTTAGACTTCCTTACTTTATATTTCTTTTGAAGGCTATTGCAGGAAAGATCCTCCTTCCCTGTGGATTCGATCCCTAAGTACTACAATTGATCAGCTGTGCACTTGCGGCTATTGATTTCATTTAGGGTAAAACTTGACACCCTCACGACACACCACCATCAAGTTTTTGGCGCCGTTGCCGGGGAAGGCACGCGTTTTCTTTCCCGCAAAACCCTAAGAAAGGCTG